CCCCCCGCCCCGCCCGTCCTTCTCTCTATGTCTCTTTATCACTCTCTTCATGCCCCCCCCCCACTTGTGCGCTCCGTCTGCACGTGCCCACGCAAGTGGTTGCCTTCCGGTTGGACAATGTTGACATTCGTCTCTTCGCGGCTTCTCGGCAGAAATCAGACCAGCACACAACGTGAATGCACCAAACGCCGGATAGCAACGCCAGCAGCAACAACAGCAACAGCAGCAGCAGCAGTAGCAGCACCAGCAGCAAAGACGCATGGCACAGCCCACCTTTCGGCCTGTCGGGTTCCTGGAGCGGGGGCAAATGGACTTGATGAACACCGCCAGAGACGCCGTGTCCTGAATCATTCCTTCGATGCCCGTGATCAGCCGGTGGTCTTCCTGTGCCTGAAATATAGGGGTTAAAGGGTTAGCGCCAAAGACAAACGGGTTGGCAGCGAACCACACTGCATCAAACGTTGCCTTGGGTGTGGAACTACATGTGAGGTTGTGTGCAGATCTATAATATGCATGGCATCAAGGTGATATTGTCGGTTCGTTAAGGTTCGCTGGGCTCTTCAAGTAAAAAACACGTCGGCGGTGTCAGATGTTCAGGTTGGGAAATGTCACAACTGGTAGCCAGCCGTGGGGCGGCCCTGCTGCCTGCTTTCATTTATACCTTGCATCATCGCCCCTTGGTGGCATTGCTGTGCTCTCATGAGCCCACTCCAGTGGGATGGACCCCTTAAAACAACAGCACACCCCAATCGAGATAATCAACGGCGACAACGACACCGTCACTCATGAAATCGCAGCCCGGTGATGATATCTACCGTTCCACGCCTGGCCTTCCCCTACCCTAGGGTTTATGCCTTGAAACACAAAAGAGCGGCATACGGTAGCTGCTCTCTCACCTCCGAGGGGGGGAAGGACCTGAAAGGAGTGATGGGACAGACACAGGTGAAGCCGTCGTCAAGGACGCACGCCCACGACCGCGGCGATAGCTCTTCGGTAGCCTTGAGGTACAAGATGTTGAGAACCATCTGTCGCATTGCGGTTCTCTGCGAAACGCGGGCATCCGGTGTTTTGAGGAATGTTTCCATCACCATCATGGAAGTGCAGGTGAAGGCCCGACGCAGGGGAGGAAGAGGATGGGATGGGTTGACCGGGATGGGACAGACCGCACCAAGAATGTTTTGTGTTCGGAAAAGCGTTTGAGGTTCCAAGATTTGAATAGCTCTCGATCGCCATTTGTTTCTTCAACTTCACAGCAAAAATCAAGTTCCGCAAACTGTTCCTAGAGGGCGTGCAAAACAAACCGGAGTGCACAAGAACAGCGTGGTGAGCTTAACCGCTAACAAGTCCAGTAGCGGTCAGAGCCAGATAGGCAAAATCACAACCAGCCAGCGCTCAACAGACACAGCGAGGCCGAAGCAACCGCCTCTCAGCAAAAGCTCACCCTCCCCGTTCGATCCCCTCACCTTCGCCGAGATCTTGGATGTTTCGAGCTGGGCGTCCCTCTCTTCCTGCGCCTTAGCCTGCAACATCTCCCCGACCTGCAGCTTCAGGCTCTCCACGTACTGCTTCTTGCGCATGCGTGTGTTTCGCGCGTGCTCGCGGTTCCTGACCCGGCTGTCCCGTTGCGATGCGCGGGGAGCGATTAGCGTCAACAGGTGAGGAAGGAGGCATTGTCCGTGAGAGCCTCACAAGGGGAAAATGGCGACGAATGGCGCATTACAAATGGGGAGGCAAGCGTGTCGTTCGTAAGAGCGGCTCTAAGTATGTGTACGATCAGCACTCGCGAGCCGCTCGATATTCCGACCGCTTTGCGCTATCGATGCCATAGACAGGGTTATCACCCGAGGCTCCCCTCTTTCTGGAACAACCATGACAAGGCCTTCAGGTGCGTGTAGGTGAAGCATTGTTTGTGTTCTCGACCAAATAAACAACGAACAAACTGACAACCGAGAGAGCTCGTAGCAGCGGCCGAACGGGGCAGACCTTCAGCAGTCGAGAACACCAACAGACGGAATCCTTCATACTTCTTCGGAGAAAGAAAGAAAGAAAGAAAGAAAGAAAGAAAGAAAGAAAGAAAGACACACGCAGAGAATCCCCCGGCCGGCCCACCCTCCTACCACGCACGGTGGAAACACACGAAGCATTCTTCGAACGTTGCATTGACGTGTTAAATTTTTCTTTCCTGCAAACAAAGTGTGCGTGGACACGAGGAGATACCGCACCCTGCCTTGCGTCATACCATTTCGCACGGCATTGCAACACCCCGTTCAACGCAAACACGGAGTTCCGGAAAAAACAAGGATTCTAAACAGGTCAAAACCAGCAGTATACAAATAACCAACAAGGGTGCACAGGAGCAGTGGGCGAATCACAAAAAGGTTTCACAATGTCGAGAAGAACAACGAGAGTGGGCGAGGTTACTCCCGCGAGAGGAGACCAGCTCGCCACGCCACTCACTTGGCTCTCTGCTTGGGGTTCTCGTTGGCGTCCTCAACCTCCCCGCCAGCGGCCTTCCCCCCCTTGCCGTCAAAGTCGGGATCATCACGGTCGCCATCCCCGTCCCCGTCGCCCGCATCATCTGCCCGCTTTCTTCTCTTCTTGCCCCCCCGCGCCTTCGCAGCCATCGAGTGATGGCCGCACCCGGCGGCACCTCTACCGCTGGTCTCGCCCGCTTCCACGCCACCGCTTCTGCCGGTGGTGTCGTCGTCGCGATCTCGAGACTCTCTATTGTGGCGGTTCGGTCCGGACGACGCTATTCTTTCGCTCGACGCTCTTCCCGCCTCTTCCCTCGCCCGCTTCGCCCCCGCTGCTGCTGCTGCTGCTGCTGCCGTTGTCGTTCTCGCGGTGGCAGCGCCTGTTGTCCCAGCGGTAGCGGTAGCAGTCGGTGGCCGCCCATCGTCCGCAGTCGATGACCGCGGTTGCCAAGAGCCCCCCCCGTCCTGCTGGTATTGACCCTCGCCCAGCGGGGGGGACAGGCTTGTCAGGCTAGCCAGGCTGTAATCGAGAGAGCAGATTGCGTCCGGGTCCATGACCGCCTCCATGCCCGAGGGCAGCTTGTCGAGCACCGACCCGTCCGCCCCGATGAAGCTGATCCCGCCGCCGATGCCACCACCACCATCGATGCTGCTTTTCCCGTAGCGAGTTTCCTGTTTTACGTGACGGGCCGTTTTGTTGTTGCGGGTGATTCGAGGGGGCGAGTGGTCCGGGCTACCACAGCAGGTGTGTTCTGCTGTCGTTAATGAACATATCACGGCCGTACCGATTTGCAGTATAAACCTTACATGGAGCAACAATCAAAAGATCGCCACCGCACCCGTGTATGTGTGACGCCGGCATCTCCATAAAGCCAAAACCCTCCAATCTAGACTCAGTCTGTCACAGCGCGACAAAATGGTTCGTGTGCTCGTGTGTTCATGTTGCTTTACGACATCATAACCAGCGGGGGAATTGTAGGATTTTAGACTTCGGTGGTGTGTTTAGACGCTCGTATATTGATAGGGTGCTGACCGCTGTATAGGTGATCGCTGCCTTCGCTCGCGAATCAATGGACGCCAACTAAAGGATCAGAACATAAGCATCCCGAAACAACAGCGACGAATATGGGGCGTGACAGGCCGAACACCGCCGTCGAATGTATCCTATTTACTACTTCGAAGTATGACAGCACACCATGGCATGGTTGCAGTTGTACTTGTACTTGCCGTGCCACCATGCAGGCGGTTGTGGCTGGTGCTGTAAGAAGACAAAGGCATATGGACTCCCTGCCAACGTGCATGAAGCATGCATGGGACTAAACGCGACGGCCCAACGACATCATGTATGCATGGACGGCATCTCATAACCCTTCGTATCAGCTACACCCTCCACCTCAAGCCCTCACGCGCCAAGCGGGTAGTTTGCTGGTGCACACGTTGCGCGGTGAGCAGGTTTTGTACGATTTTCAGATTTTGAACGGACATCGGTTAAACGAAACATGCGCCGTGAACCGTGAGCTTGCCAACGCCAACACACTGAAGAAACCCCCAAGCCCTCTGCTCACCTGTGGCTCGTTCATGCTGATGATCTGCAGCAGCAGCGTTTCGGTCTCCCTGTCCCGCACCGCGCACGGACCCAGCCCTACCTATTTCTGCCTGATTCTTCATTCTCTGAGCCCCGGCAGCTACTCATCTCCGATATATATCTGCGTTGCCCCGACGGAAAAACGAGGTTGGGCGCCACATAACAACAAACCAGCATCGCGTCTCTCACTTGTGACCCTTTGCACACATCATGGCGGCAATGTCTAAGACTACGAACGAATTTGCCTCAAATCTCCACGCGGCGCAGGCCAGCCCCTTCTTGAGGGTTCTGGTTACTGGTGGGGCCGGTTTCCTCGGGTCCCATCTCTGCCGGAGGTTGCTGGACGAAGGTCACCAGGTGAGGACCACCAGAGCTGGTCGACACGAACGATGTGGTAGGTATTCTAAACAGGATAGCAAGCCGCCTCCGGCGTTTCTCTCTAATGGTAGGCAAGCAGTGGTCTTGCAGCATCGCCTTGCTGAACCCTGCACGTCGGCGGTCATGGGCACGGGGTGTGTGCCCTGCGTAAGCCCTGTTGCCACACACTTTGGCAATGCCGGAAGGGCTCTTTCCAGGCCACGGCCTGCTCTCTCTGCTGCTCGCTGCTTCCAGTGATTACCCCGTTGTCATGTTCCAAAGCTCGGCGGTTAACCATCGCGGGCGTCCTACGTGTGTCTCTACTGGACGGATCTGTTCCGCCCACAGGTCATCTGCCTCGACAACTTCTTCACCAGCCAGAAGCTAAACATCCAGGTGAGCAGCGCGCGTTGCTTGCTTGCTAGCGGGCACTCCCCAGAACAAATGTAAGAAAAGTGCGGATGAAATGGAACGTGAGAGGGGACGGCGGACGTACCATTTGTTCTGAGAACAAGCGGCTGGCACAAGTCTTCGGCCCTGGGACGTCGGGCGTGCTTACGGCCCGTCTTCAGTGTAGATTCAGACACCGCGTTCCCCCTATTTACAGCCGGATGGTTCACGGGCTTTTCGTGTGTGCTCCCCAAGATCCGGCAACGAAGAAGCTGCCCGGCGCGAAAAAACCGGCCACAGGCACCCACCGATAATGCGAAGCAAATACCATAGGCAGCATTTTGTGATGAGCTAAATTCTTCGGAGAACCGTCAACAGAGGGCGGTTGCGTCACAGGAACCGACCGATCGAACCACACGATGCCTAGCACCTCCTACCCACTGCAAAACCTGTTTTTAATGTTGTCGAGGCCTGCCCCCCCCCGGGAGAAGCATTGCATATATTATTCATATTCCCGGTGTGACCTTTATTTGCGTTGTAGCGTCGTGCGGGAGCAAAAAAATTCGGCAGTTTGCCAAGCTAGCTGTGGTATTTGTGTGTGGTGCGCGTCGACCTGGTTGCGGTTCACTGGTGACTGTACGGAGGAAACGGAGTGAGACGTACTTGGGATCGTGGGCTACAGCAGCAGTACGTGCTTCTTCATGCAACCTATTCACCCCGGTGTTTTTTTGCCGTTTCCATCGGGCGAACACGATGTAGAAAATATGTATGGAATCTCCCTGAATTGCGGCAGTTACCTTGTAAGTTCGCACGCACTGCGGTCACCAGTCACCAGTTGACCTACCTACGGATGAGGTTTTAAGTTTCTTTATTGGTTTCTGAATAAGGCTATGTAGGAGACATGACGAATATGTACATCTCTATCTATAGAAATGAGTCTAACATAGATTAGCAATGAATTCATAGCGTCAGCGAAGGCTACCCGTGTTTCCACGATTTCCCGAGCAGCACAAAGCGATATCTCACCCGTGGGTAACAGGGTCAACAACACAGTTTAGTAGCCATGTTGTGCATCTATCTGCATGTTGTGCTTCGAAGTTGTAGAAGGAAGGTCTTCGGTAGTTGGTTCGTTAGGGTGTGTTGTTGGTGGCACCCGTACAGGATTATTGCGGAACAAATACAAAAATGTCTTTCTGTGTATTTATTCTTCCTAATAATATTTCAGGTTTTATGTGCGCACACCAAGGTACCGTTGTTTTATGTGCAAGGGGGGCATGGGAGAACATGGAGACCCGGCAACCGGAAACTCTACGAACCATTCGCTTGAGGCGTTTTTTTACCCTACGCCCTTCCGTCTTTCCTCGGTCAATGAGTCGATACTGCTGTGCACCCGCTGCGTTGTGTAGCGGGTGCTCAGCGTCAGAGGCTGTTGTAGAGGTTTGAGTCAACAAGCCCTGCACACTTTTAAGGGGATCGCCCTTCCAGTGTACCAACATGATGTTCGAAACCCCCTTCATCTCAGTAGATCCGTATGTAGTGCTCAGCACACCCAACACGCTGCTCGTTGAGACATTCCGCAGCGTGCGGGTTGTTCCATCGTTAAAAGTGGCGTGTACAATGTGCATGTTTTTGTTCACGAAGACCCGAAAACAAAGTTACCGGAAAATTATTGTCCCCCACGTTGTTGTAGATACACACCGTTCAGTGGCAAAACGCATGCCTACGTGTGACCCACTAGCTTACACCCTCCTTCTTTATGGTAACTTTAATCTTTCTACCGGCTCGACTCGTAGTACAGCAGTGGTTGGCGCCCGCAGTTGAGAAATATGGCAGCAATAAAAGCCGCCGGGACAGATTGAACTTGGCGTCCGCCAATCAGCTCTCCATTTAACTTGGCGCCTACTTGGCGTCTTGTCTATTTTTTCGAGTAATATTCGCAATTACGCCGCTTTTTCTTGTGCGCGCACCGCATTCGAACCACCAAGTTCAGAGGCCGACATACATCAGGCGGGGGCCTGGGCGCGGCAACTGGCGCATACCAGACGCCAACAGCAGCAGAGGCCACTCTGGTCTCTGTGTGCACGAGAAGTTTCGCAATATCAGTCCACACGGAGTGTCGATGACGAGCACGCAGCAGCACCCGCCAGAAGAGCTTCAATACAGCGAGGAGAGGGAGATCGCACAAACACGCACGCACGCATACACACGCACAGCGGTAGTACCCACACCCAGGGATCCATGTATGATTTTATACCATCTGCACGCCCGTCCTCTCGCCAGAACACTTCAAGTACCGTGATGATGATGTTCTGGCACCTCAGGGTTGCTTCCTTTCGATCTCTTGACTCCATCAATCGGCAGGTTCTTTGGATTGAACACCCCACCCACAGCAATCGCCATCAAGCATCGATTCCGATGCGTCGGTATTTGACAACCCGCATGGCAGAGTATGTGCACGGTGATTTCTTCGCTGCCCCGGTGATGGCACATCTGGTCTGGTGTCTCCTTTCCTTCATTGAATCATTGAGGGATGTGCAACATTTTGAAAGCGTGTGTCCCGCAGATGAATGGGTTTCACCGTGGGTTGGCGGGCTTCGCGCGCGTAATTGAACTCCTAAAACTCTGTCCCGGTACATCCAAAATTTGCCAGGAATTTGAGCCTCGAAAACTCAAAAAGGTAAGAACTTGGGCATCACTTGTGAGCTCGGTCAAGAGTCCATGCACTAAAACCGATTTACGGCGGCCATTTGTAGCATAACCGGTACAGCAGTAGGGACTAAGAACCCCAGCAGAGATGGTTCTCAAGTGCGGGCGCCGACTATTATATGTACCGTAAACATCAATAGGGGGATGAGATTTTTGACTTCAGATCGCTCTCGCCTGTACCGGCGGTCCAGCCCAAGCACGTACCGCGGTCGGACAGAGATATTATCCTCGTGCCTCGTGTCAAGTCCAGAAACGGGTACTTAGCTGTGTTTTTTACAGGGTCCGGCGTAGTGCCCGAGGTTGTAATTGGTCCTGTCTACTAAATATTTATGTTTCTTCTCTCTGCACCCCCCCCCCCCCCCCCCCCCCCCCCCCCCCCCCCCCCCCCCCC